TAAATGAAGCACCCAAAGTTACCCGTCCCCTCGTGGGTAAAAGTCCATCCAAATGGGATTGGCCCAGAGCAAAGCCCCAAAGCCTGCCACAAGTCTAAAGCATCTTCCAGTGGGGACCCACAGCAAAGGGTCAGAAATAACCAGACAAGCCCGGAAGGAAAAGAGCAAAATCAACATCAAGATAAAAACTGCCATTGTCACCTCCCCATAGGTCTCACCCACATCTGTGTCACCCAGTCTACGACCAAAAGACAAGCGCAGTTTCTTCACGTGTCTCTAGGCTCCATGCGCCTCCTCCAGGCCTCCTGGCTCCATCCTGCTTCCTTCCTCAGTCTCTTCTTGCAGCTTCTCCTCTTCCTACTCAGCTCCACCCTCCCTTGGGAGGGGCAGGGAACCTCCCCCTTTCCTGGGGACCACCCTGTTACAGTGGGATGAAGGGATAGGGAGGACTGTCGACTAATAGAATAGGAATAAGGGATTTAGTTTATCTCTAACATTCTAGTTGACATTATCAAATCTAATATTTGATAGTTCAGCGTAAGTGAAGGAAATTGTTACAATGTCTACAAAACAAGGCTAAAAAATAGCTCTGGGTGAAAATCATTCCCATTTTTGTAATCTTAGCATTAATTGGTCTTATGAAAAAATTGGCCTTATGGAAGATGTGTAGGAGTGTTAGATTGAAAAAAAAAAAAGATGTATTTGAAGTGTTTCATTCAGCATTTGGTCTGATCCCCCATATCAGACGCTTTCATAGGAGGGATATTTAACCACCTTTCTATTTTGATCAGAGATATGTGGTTCCTTATGGATTTTAGCAACACATCATCCAAAAAGGTCTCTCATAATCCCTTGAGAGTAAAGGGGGAAATGTGGTCTAGATACCAGGGCAATAAAATGGATGAGGCTGAGCAGTGAGTTCACCTACAGAGCAGCTTCCAGGCCTCTGGACTCTGAGTTTTCAACAACTTTGCCAAGATCTTTGATGAATATATGGAAACTATTCTTGATCAATTGTTGAAATGAAACAGACTTTCAGAGGGTTGCAAAATGTTGTAGGTGATAAATATATCTGGACAGGCTAGAGTAATAGGCCACAACTGAGATGATATAATTAGAAAAGGAAAATGTGAGGGTCGAACAAAAAAATGTTGCATAAGTGCAGGATGGGGGAACGTGGTTTAGTGGCAGCATGTGTGAAACAGATATGGGGGTTGTTAGCGGAAAGTAATTTCATTTTGAGTCAACTTTTTGACGTGGTTGTTCAAAAGCCAGTCTGACCGAATGTGGTATTTACTGAAATATAGCATTTAGTAATGCTTAATGTAAGTTGGGGCTCCAGGAACATTGAGAAACATGGGTGCTTTGGATAAGTGTACTGAGTAAAGCTACTTAACAAACACACTCAGCTTAACCAAGGAAAGATGTTTGCTGGTTATCACGGAGGTCCTCTTAGTTGAACTGAGGAAGGAGGCTAACAGAAAGATCAAGGAGTGGCTATGCCTATTTATTCATAGCAAGTCTGAACTTTGAGTTTTTAAATTGTAATGATAAATGAATTTTTAGGAACTGAGACAGAGACCAGTAAATTATTGTTCTTCTATTTCCTATTAAACACAATTCTGGGGCCTCCCTGGTGGTGCAAGGGGTTAAGACGCAACCTATGAAGCTATCCACAGCCACCACAGCACGAGTTCGATGGCTGGCAGGCCAGGGAGCTACCCACATGGCTCAGCAGACCTCTCCTGACTTGCCCGCTGTTGCCCTCAGCAGTGTATTTCAGTCAGTCTGCCTGTTCTGTTCCCCACTCTGTCTCTGGTGAATCCTCTCACCCCCCACACCTCTGGCCTGTACCCAGTTTTTGCATGTATATATAAGTAAATCTTTAAAAAAATAAACACAATGCTAAGCACTATTAAGCTATTACTTATGTTGGCTTCTGAAGGCATGACTCTTCAGCTGTATGAATAGTTCTATGTCACAAGGGGGGGTGCACTTTCCTGATGGTTGGGGAGGATCATGGCACTCAGGATGTGGAGCATTCATGACTTAGAGCCAACTCCCTGCAAGCACCAAAGGGTACTGTTTCCAAGTGGGAGGAGATCTTATGCTATCACATACCATACCTCCCCTCAGTGTACAAATTGTGGACTCTGAACTTCAAAACAAAATTTACTTTATGTCAGCAAATGAGAGGCAAGTTTCTCCTTAATGATCTATTGGAAACAGAAAGATCAAACTAGCATTACTTCTAAACAATGTCAGATTTTTTCTTTTGAACAGGAAATTTGTTGCTATGCCTTGTTCTCCCTCCTGGTGCAGTGTACTTTTGATCTTCAGGGAAAAGACCTCATGGGCACTGATGTACATGCTTAAGAATAAGAGGTAAGAGTCACAGCCTCTAATTTTCAATTGCTTCCTTGGAGAGAATTCCTCACATAAAGGGATTGGTGGTTTTTTAGCCTCGATATGGATATCTTCCTAAAGGGTTTTCTTAATAATTGTCCAATAAAACATTCCTTACAACATATAGATACATCACACACACATGTATGTGCATATAATTTGATAGTTTCTCAAGTCATAACTACATAGAGGCTAGAACTTTAGAAAACAATAATGAGGGTGCTGAAAGGAACTGCAATTATGGAAAAACTAATAAATTGTTTGGCTCAGAGAAAATACTTAAGCTGTCTTAAAAAATAAACTGATGGGGGCATATGAAAAAATGTTCAACATCACTAATTATCAGGAAAATGCAAATCATAACCACAACAAGATACCACTTCACTCCAGAAGAGTTAAAAAATTAAAAAATTAAAAAATTAAAAAATTTGTAAACAAATGCTAGAGAGATGTGGAGATAAAGGAAGAGTCTTACACTGCTGGTGGGGATGTAAACTGGACCAGCCACTATGGAAAGCTGTATGGAGATTCCTCAGACTACTAAAAATGGATCTACCATATGATCCAGTGATTCTACTCCAAGGAATCTACCCAAAGGACACAAAAACACCAATGCGAAAGAAACTTGCACCCTATGTTTATTGCAGCACTATTTATTATAGCCAAGATATGGAACAACCCAAATGTCCCAAATTAGACAAATGGATCAAAAAGTTGTGGTATTTGTACATAATGGAATATTACTCAGTGATCAAAAAAAGTCAAACTCATGCGATTTGCGACAACATGGATGGAGCTGTAAGGGACTGTGCTAGATAAAATAAGTCAGAAGGACAAAGAATAATATCAGATGGCCTTTTCTGTGGAATATAGAGGAACCAAACAAAAGGTCAAGAAAAAGTCAAATTGAGGCATATAGCAAAGGGAAGTGGGTCTAAACAGGAGAGGAAGAACACAGGGGAATATGGTGATGGTTCATGGGTGATATGGTGGTGGGAGAACTATAGGGACTATAATGATGTAATAAAAAATAATTATTATTAAAAAAGAGGGAAAAGGGCCTCCCCTGGTGGCACAGGTGGTTGAGTGCTGTGCTGTGTCTGCAGCCTCTGTAGCGCCGGTTCTGATCCCGGCCGGCCGGCGAGGGTCCCACATGGTGAAGCAGACCTCTCCTGTCTCGCCTGCTGCTCCTCTCAGCAGTATTTTGTCAGTCTGCCTGTTCTGTTCCCCACTCTGACTCTGGTGAATCCTCTCACCCTCCCGTGCATCTGGCCTGTACCCCAGTTCTTGTATAAATAAATAAATAAATCTAAAAAAGAGGGAAAAATAGACATGTGCTTAAAAAATACAAACAAATAAAAATTATGTGACTACTTATAAAAAAATAAACTGATGGGTTATTATACTAAACAATATTTCTTCTGACTTGTTTTAATAATGAGAACTTCCCAAAGAAGGCAGAGGGTATCTTGACACTAAAGATGTTCTGGCAGCCTAAGGATGAATCGACATCGTTGCACTAGATGGACTTTAAGGCTCCTTTAAACACAGTAGCTTTATGGCTTTGTTATCTCTATCTCTTTTTTTTTTTTTTTTCTGAAATAGCCCATGGAGTGGAAGTTAAAAGGTAATCTGAAGATGACTGCTTTGAAGTCAGGAAATTGAATTCATAGTTGCTTATAAGTTGAGGAAGAAATTCACATTCTACGACAAAGAAGATAATGCCAGCAAAGAATTCTTCAATACTCTTCCTGGATAATGCACATAACCATGTATAAAGCAAATCATCAGGATTATAAGGACGAACTGACAAACATGGTGAAAGATTTTAAGAATGGATTTCTTTGTGATTGATGGCTTTATAAGTAAACAAAAGAGTCGAACAACACAAGAGGTTTAATCTAAAGGGTATATCTAGAACTCAATGTCTGTAGCCTCTGTCAGAGAATATACATTAAAAAAAATGGAAAGTTTAAAAAAATTATCATATAATAACCTATGAACCAAGCCTCAATGAATTTTGTGAAATTAGTATCACAAAAGCAACATTGTCTTTTAACGTTGATTCCAAAACAAAATTACTAAAAAGCTTATTTGTTTGAGAAAGTAAAATGACTTGCTAGTAACTCATGTCCAAGTAAGAAATAATTATAACTTAGAGAAGATGAAAATATCCCATATTAAAAGCTGTGAGATTGTACTAAAGTTGAACTTACAAGAAAGTGCTTAAATCTTACCCTAGAAAAAGATTAGTAAAATAGGTAAATAGGCAAATCACCAAAAATGATCAAGAAAAACGCATGGGGGTACTTAATACCCTACCCTCTTTCATTAAAAATGAAAGAGAGACATAGAGACTCAGCAGAGATTTAAAAATAAGAATATACTATGAATAATTCCACTGAGGACTTAGAGGGTTCCTCTCTAGTTTATGGTTCCCACAGAAAAATTACTCTTGAAAAAAATGAGGAATTTTTGTAGAGGGAGTTACCTTGAACTGAAGATGAAATAAGGGAGAGGGAGTTACCTTGAACTGCGGTGAATCACATGTATTACTGGAAAAGAAATACAAGCCGGAAGTTCCAAGCCTCTGAAAGGCTGGTTGACACCTTCTCTTCTCAGCTTATAATAAAGTCAGCAAAAACCAGCCCACCAAATGGCACCCCATTTGAGGAAGCATACAATCTTTTAAAGGGAGACGCTGGTCAAGAGGTAGGTAAAGGGAGGGTTAAGAAAGTTCTTGAATGCTTGAATACTTTTTCATCTACATGAAGATAACATGGAGGGTCACTTTAAAAATTCTTTTAAACTTTCACTACAATCAAATACAGGATGACATTTAAATTCTAAGAACTGCTATATTCAACTCAGACTCCCAAATGCTTTTTACTGAAAAGCCTCAATGAATTTTGTGAAAGTAAAATGACTTGCTAGTAACTCATGTCCAAGTAAGAAATAATTATAACTTAGAGAAGATGAAAATATCCCAGTATATTTATTTATATTTATATAAATATAAATAAATGTTTATATTTATTTTTATATTATTTTTAAATAATTAATTTTATTAATTTAAATAAATTATTATATTAATTTAAATAAATATTTATATTTATATTTATTTTTATATTTATATTTATTTATATATATTTATTATAAAATATCCCAGTATATATATTCAGTATATATATACATTTGTATGGGACTTGTCCTGCTCATGTTTTTGTGTTAGAAAAGCATTCTATGGGGCCTCCCTGGTGGCGCAGTGGTTGAGCGCTGGGTTGCGAAGCTGCCTGCAGCCTCTGCAGCGCCGGTTCGATCCCCGGCCGCCAGCGAGGGTCCCACATGGCGCGCAGACCTATCTGGCTGCACACTGCTCCCCTCAGCAGTGTACTTCGTCAGTTTGCCTGTTCTGCTCTCCACTCTGGCTCTGGTGAATTCTCTCACCCTCCCGCGCTTCTGACTCTACCCAGTGCTTGTATAAATAAAAATAAATTAAAAAAAAAAAAAAGGAAAACATTCTATGGCACATACAATACTTTTCCACTAAGAGGGTGATTATCATTTTTTTTTTTTATACAAGCACTGGGTACAGTCAGAAGCGCGGGTGGGTGAGAGAATTCACCAGAGCCAGAGCGGGGAGCAGAGCAGGCAGAAGGACCACAGTACACTGCTGAGGGGAGCAGCGGGTGGCAGGAGAGGTCTGCGCGCCATGTGGGACCCTCCTCCGGTGGCTGGGGAGAAGCCAGGGATCGAACCAGAGCCGCATAGGCCGCGGGCAGCTTCGCAACCCAGCGCTCAACCGCTGCACCACCGGGGAGGCCCAGGTGATTATCATTTTTGATGAAGTAACAATAAAAATCAGAAAACTTCTATATTTACTTGGATCTGTCTTGGGCAATACCTTAATGAAAACAAGATTATCTGAATATGTGGTTGTATTACTTTTGCATAACAAATAGTATGTTAAAAACCTTATTCAGTGGAATCAACCAAAAGGAGCTGAAATAGGAGACTGCTTTCCTATTTGATTAAGATATAAAACATGAAGTACAATTTGCAATCATTTAAAAAAATTTCCAAACTTGCATAAGGAAAGGGCAGTGAACAAAAAACTAAACAATGTGTGTGATTGTCTCTGTGCTGGAATAATGGGAGTGACTTCTGGGTGATTTTCTTTATTTTCTAATATTCTGCACTATAGGCTGTATTAATTTAATCGTACTTTAAAAAGTTTGCCATAATGGAAATACCTAGAACTCATATATGTCTCTAAAATTCTCACAAACTAAGTACAGTTTCATGGCAGCCAAAATGATCAACAAAATATTGTCCTTCTTGACAGGTATGGGAGGATATTTCTTTCTTACTCCTGTTCTACCTAGAGTGGTAGTATCCTGCCTGGAGTATGTAAGTGCTCTCAGGAGATGTTGAAAGGTTTCAGCATCTACCCCAAGTTGGCATTTCCTTCCCTTGGCTTACTTTCCCCGCCATTAACATGGGAGAATGTAGAGCCCAGTCCGACAAGCGGGGCAGCAGGATCATACTGGGAATTCTGGGCATGGACAAAATTTCAATTACCACCTTCACAATGTTGCTACCCTGCTCAACAACTTAATTCAATCCTACAGCTTGACTTGCAGACCTCCCACACCAGTGCACCGACACCTTTCTACCAATCTCTCATCTCCCCACCATGATTTCTACACCTTGCCCATGCAGCTCACTCATGTGCCAGGCCCATCACCAGCCTCACCCCTCGTAGAGCTTTCCTCTCAGGTCCTCAGGCCCATCTTGGGCTCCCAATTCCATGGCTTATCCTCAGTGCTGGATCATGTTGGTGTAGGGCAGTCACAGTATTTCACTGTTTCCTGTGCACAGCAGGGTATCTTAACTGTTGGGGCCAAATCCTATAACTCCTTGATTCTCCCCATTGCCTTCTATCAATGCCTATGACAGGGCTGTAATGTGACAGGTTCTTAAATCCAGGGGACAAACTTTCAAGGTGGGTGACTTTGCTGGCATTTTTCCTAACAAAAAATTTTATGAATAATTTTTACTTCTGTTTTATCTGCCTGCCTCCTTCCTTTTCCCCCCTCCCTCTACTGCTTGTCCCATACTTAAAAGTAGAAAAGAACATTTCCCCTGCTCGTTCTCCTCAGTTGATGTCTACATACTTCCTCTAGTTTCTTCAGTTATCATTTAACTGTGCTAATAGATAGCAAATCTCAGTGTAAACAACCAAGGCGCCTGATCTGCTTCTCTTCTCACTCCTAGGTACCTGCACCCTGAGTGTGCTGCACCCTCAGTATACATTCCCACCAAGGGCTATGCGCTTCGGTCCTGAATGGTGAGTTACATTATTCACTGATTTATTCACCTACTAATTCAACACCTAGTTACTTAGCACCTTCTATGTGCCAGGCATTGTTACTGAAACTGACGGTTGTAGGTCTTGTTTCCCCAACTAGATTGGAAGCTCCCTGATGGCACAGTCTGTCTGCTATAATTATTTAAATGTTACAAGAGACTCTAGCTGTGTGCTCATAAAGAGTCTGAAAAATATTTAATGGACTGAGTGAAACTAGAAAGAGAAAAGGAGTAAAGCAGAAGGCTACAGTTTTCGCTCTTTACTCTTCCCCTTGTGGTGTGACTACAGAGATGGTATAAACACAAGGAAAATCTCCAACTCTAGCTGAATGAGTACAGCCTCCATTTTTACCCCTGAGCCTCTGTCCAGGCAAATGAGACAGTGACATATGTGAAAAGATACACTTTTAAGTTGCAGAATTTTTTACAAATATGAAGTGTTGCCATCATTATCATGTATTATCTGTATCTTGATGCAGAGGTTGATTCCCAGCAATAGGCAACCAAGTCACCCATTTTGCGAGCTCCTGTAACCAGCTGCAAATATGTACGGTATGGAAAAAAAGCTGAAACTTGACAAACCCCAAGTGGAAAAAAAAATGAGCAAGAACAGCCACACATCCAAAGAGAGAGCAAACCTCACTGCTTGGAGGAAGAAATCCTCTAATTACCTCCACACTTATGCTTGCTTCCATCTGCTTGCATTTAAAGAAGCCCAACTACTGGGTTCCTCACAGCTGCGGAGAAGAAAAAGGAAATGCATCCCAGTGCCTGGATGGCCGCAGCAGGCAGGAACCAACAACGAAGACAGAAGGTTCATAAACAGATTTAATATCTTTTATGCAAAACTGAGCAAACATTCTCCAGGTTGGGCAACCATAAGAAATAATAATGGAAATCATTCTCAGAGGAAGGCAACAGCAGTGTGTGTGGGCAGGAATGCTGCAGCAATGTACTCATCTGAAGCAGCCAATGAGCCTTCCCAGGCAAGTGTCGCATGGGGCCCAGGCTGCAATTAGGCTTCCTATGGGGAAGGGACCGGAAGTGCAGGTACCCACACTTTACCAGACTGGTGAAAAAAAGTCTGCTTTAGGGCCCACCCTTGGCAAAACTCCCAAGTGGCCTTCTTAAATTTCAGAAATGTCAGCCTTCTGATTTGATCTCATTTTGGTTATTCTGCCCTTGCTCTTTCTACCTCATTCTCACCAATTCCCCAGGCTCCCGGCTGCCTCCAGTCTTAGAATTCTGGGTTGTCCCAAACCATCACAATTTGAGGAAGCAACAAAACAATATAATTTTTTAAAATCGCAGCAATGGAGGACAATGTATTTTTAGCTAATGAAATTGTGCTATACAGATGCAAAGAGATGAGATGTTTTCACATTGTCAGGTAGTGGCAGGGAAATGGACCCTTATCTCATAGCTACAACACATTACACATTCGGCAAAAAAGGGAAACCAGCATTTAGAGGCACTTGCTATGACCTGCAGACTAGCTAGGTGCCTTCACATATTTTATCTGATTTCAAACCGTACAATGATCCTATGAATTGGGCTCAAATAAATGAAGCAACTTTCCCCAAGTCTTCTAGCCAGAAACAGTGGCAAAGCTCACTCTTCCTTTTAGCACTAAATTGTACCACTTAGAGACTTCAGGAGAATGGAAGCTGATGGTGTAGTTAACTCATGAGACTTAAGTCTCACGGGCTTTGAATTCTGTTCAGGATAGATAGAGTGAAAAGAGAACAGTGTAATGACATGAACATCAGTGAGGAACCTGAGCCCAAGATTAACTTGAATGGTATCACTGGGAAAGGTTGTTAATGGAAACTTTTTGGATTCCTGGTGTAACTGTTATTTTGCAGTTTGTGAGGACCCTGGAGAATTCTGTAAAGGTGACTTTTGCATCTCTAAGCAGCTCCCTCCTTCACAATATGCTGAAGTTAGAGGGGCCAGAGCCAGTGGCACTTGGCCTCAAGTACCCTGAAGGGCGTAATCAGGTAATGCCAAGAGAAGCCAAATTTGGGCACACAGGGCTTTCTGCAGAAGTGGGAGAGGGGCCTACTGGCTGCCTATCCAGGGTCTCCCTGCACCGTCAGCAACAAAATGCCCTCAGAACTCCCCTGAACAAATTCTTTCTGCCTGCAACCAGCACAACCATCTATCAAAGCAGGACCTGCATTGCACAATGGAACAGTGTGGGCGGCTCTATGTTTTTGATGTAGTATAAAAAAATTGACTAACCCCTTCCACTGGAAGGAACAGCTTCAACACGTAGGTTGTATGTATGCAAAATGTTCCTATGGGTAAATGATAGGATCCCACATAAGTGTCTAGATCTGGAAGAATACTGTCCATCTTTAAGTTCAGCTCTGGCCTTTCATGAGCAGCAGCAGCAGCAGCAAAAGCAGCAGAAGCAGCAGCAACAGCAGCAGTGAGGAGGCTCTTGCTCTGTCGGCACACAACTGAGGGCTCACCCTAGAAGCGCTCTGCTTCCGTATCTGGCTTTCTAAGTCATCTACGACCTCGCCGGTTAATGGTGATGTAAGGACATCTCCACACTTGTTATTTTTAAGGTTAAAATTCAATCAATTCTTGAATCTGTCTCCTTTGAGAGAGTATCAACAGGGCAGGTATCTGAAAATAACTTATGTGTTTTATTCATTGCTTGATGGTTAAGACAAAGTTTGCTTCTGATGGAATTCCCTTCCCTACCCCCACCCCAACATTTTAATGTGAAATCATAGTCTGATAACTTTACTGAACATTTATATACTTGCCAACTAGCTTCTACATTATATCATATTTGCTTTATCACGCAGTTATCCATCTAGCCATACTGTAAAACTTTTTTTTCTATACTGTAAAACTTTTAACTGCACATTTCTCCATGGTCCTTATTCTTCTAAGGTGCCACTTAAGAGGAGCATGCTTTTCAGACACCTCTGGGTGTGAATCTCTGCTTGAGTACTTACTGGTGGGAGACTTTGGGAAGGTGTATAATTTCCTAGAGCTTCAGTTTCCATAGTTATAAACTCTGTGTAACAATGGCCAGAGGTGCTGTGAGGATTAACTGCAATAACTGCAATAAGCACATTTAAGGATATTTAGCCAATTTTTATTCGTAGGCTATGTACTCTCTCCTATCTATGAAAAAAAACTGAATGTCAAGCATTAATAACAATAATCCGGGTACAGGTAAAACAAGAATGACATCACTTCCATAGTTGCTGGAGCTGGGTGGAGGATCTTTGTTAGCCCACCATGCTATAATGTTTATTTTCTATAAATTTAAATTTTTTCATAACAAAACAAAGACAAAAAAGCCAAATTGGCTGCTAGACTATATCAAGAACAAAAGGATTATATATAAAAAAAAAACCTTTGAGGAAGTAATAAAGAAGTGACAACACTGGGGTTAACAGTGCAGAGTAAGGGAGGCCTTGGGTGCTCTCGCTCTCATGGGGTTGGGTAGGGTGGGTCGGGGTGGAATGGAGGAAGAACAGGGCCTGGGTACTCTATAAATACTCCTCAGGTAACTTGGCTTACCGCCTGGTAAGAACTTTTGTACTGGTGGAAAAATGCAGAACCACACTTTCCAGAACATTAATTATGAGAATGAACATTTCATATAATGCAAAGCTTGTGCCTTCAGCTCATTTGCAGGCAGATGACAGTGTTAGCAGCCTCTGATTTAGCAGAATAAAAAATATTTGTAACTGGTCAGCCTCCCTCTGTAAGTTAGGATGAGTTAATGAAGGGCCCAATTAGACTGCATTCTCCCACATCACTTATCAACAATCTCAACTGAGAACTAAGAGGTTTTCAGAATCAGGGACCTGGGGAAATTTGGAGGTGGGGGGGGGACCTATTACAAATGTTTAACAGAGAAGTGAAAGGAAAGGCTTCATTTCTTTCTTAGAAAAGAATAATGTACACCCTCCTGTTCCAGTCCCTTAATTCCTTCCCTTCCCTGCTGTGGCTCATTCTCTCTTGTTCCCCTTTGCTGGCAGTTGGAGGCAAGGAGGAGGTTGTGATGGAACTCTGGGGTGAGATAGAGTGTGTTTCTGGGAACCCTTTCAGTGGGGGTGGAAGCAGGGTTTTTGAAGGGTAGAATCACGTGGGGGCAGCTCTACTGAGTTGGCCAAGCTGGGCTACCACAGGGGAGCAACAAAGCGAAGGGTTGCTCTGTGGGCTTTCTGCATGAGGTCAGGAAGAAGAAAGCTCATAACAGAGGGAACCACAAACAGTGGACATGTGCTCACATGTGACCCCAAACACTTACATACATACAATCCCTCAGAGGATCTGTCAGAATTTTTTTGTCCATACAAATTCGTAAATTGAAGCTGTAACCCCTGATGTGACTATATTAGGAGGTAGGACTTGTAAAGAGGTAATTATAGTTAAATGATGTCCTAAGGGCTATAAGGGGGCCCTCATTCAATGGGACCGGTGTCCTTACATGAAGAGGAAGAGATACTAGGGATGCATGTGCACAGAGACCATGTGAGGTCAAGGGGGAAGGTGGGTGTCCAAGATTCCCTGCAGAAAAAGGAGAGGACTTTTTGAAAACCTGTGATGAGAAAGACAGTGTTGGACAAAGAAGTAACCTTTCCAGCTTGAGGGACTAGGAAGAACTGGCATTGGAGATGAGTCTTGCATCAGACTGAATTTAGACTCTAAGAGGTGGGTGGAAGGCACCTGAGCAGAGAAAGTGAGTGCCTGAGATTCACTGAGGGCATAGAAATTGTTTGGTTTTGCCCTGGGATAAAATGAGGCATGAGGTTAGTTAGATATGGCAGAAAAGGCTTCAGTGCCAGATAAAATGTGTAGGCCTTCTCAGAGGATAATGAAGGTCTTGAAAAGTTTTTTTCTTTAACAAGAGAATGACAAAATTGATAATTATACTAAAAGGGCAAAGTAAAGAGACCTGACATAGAGTAAGCAGTTATTAGAGCCAGGCATGATATTAGTACCATGTTTCTTATCTCATTTATTTCTCAAAATAACTGCTGCTTTGAAAATGAGAAAGTTGAGGTTCACAGAGGTGATATGACTTGGCTGGGATGCCATAGCTGGTCAGCAGCAGGGCAGAGACTTAAGCATATGCCCAGCACCTGAGTGAATGCCCTGTCCACCCAGTCATTTAAAACCCAAGCCCAGCCCCCATGGCTTCATCTACTTTGCTTTGTTCCAGAATGGCTATTTAATGGAGCAGGACCTAGAAAGCACATTGTTTCACAACCACAAAAATTTCCAGTGCATAGGTATCTCTAGATATATTATTTATCCTTACAAACAAAGCAACATGTAGGCTAGTTTTTCCTGTCCTTCCATATTACAATATAGTCAGAGGGTCAAGATACACATTTTCCTCTTATGTTCAAAGTAATCAATGATGGTAATTTACATGTAAGCTACAAACATATGTAGGCAGAGCAGTAACCCTGCGTTAGTAGACACCCCAGATTTGATTATATTTTTTTTATAGTGCAGAGGTTGAGCTACTCTCAACTTCCCAAATCCTCAACAAGGATCCAATATTGAGGAAACAGGTTGTTTTCTGTGTGTACATGAATGTCAGACTTAGTAAAGAATGCCATGATCATTTGATCTTTTAGCTCTTCCAAAACTGTAAGAATATTTGAGAGTCCCTGGAGGAGATGGTACTCTGCACAGTATTCTCCATTTCTTCCTCTCACTATTCTGAGGCCCATCTATCCCTCTCCATTGACTACTAATATTGAAGATGAAACCAAAACATGTCTACTTAGCCCCATACTTGGAAGCAAAATTTAGGTACTAAGCCACTTGGCTGAAGTCAACTATAATTTCTGGGTATTTAGCAGAAATAGAGGTACTAAACGACATTTTAAAATGAATATGAGCTATCCACTCAAAGAAATAAAAATGCCTTCAAATCAGAACAAATAAAAGGATTGTGATTTGGGTGTCTAAATGAGCAGTACGTAGGGAAGTGGTAGAATGAGAGAAGAGCCCCACAACACATTGTTCTGATACCAAATGCAGCCTCACACCTAAAGTTTTGGACAGATTTCAGGGGTCTATGAGTAAGAGCAGATCCTATGTCAAAATCTAAAAAAATTATGGCAATGAAGGGAGCCAGGGAAAATCCATTTATCTGATCTTATGGTGCTATCCTTCAATTATCAGAAGCCCAGAGAATAAGGAAAAAAACTGTCCTCTTTATCCTTTACTTAACTGAGAATGTTAGAAGATTTGACTATCTGGCCTCTAATTAAGAAAATGAGACAATCTCTCTCCCCATTCAAATTTCAATTCTTATAATCTGTGTTTCTATTTGGGTAAAGTCCATCATAACTAACTCTAGGCACTCATCACCATTCTCCTGTTATTCCCCTGGGGACTACATTCTAGTCGAACAGTTCATGAAATGGGGGTCAATGGCCAGAGATTCGACATTCAGCGGAAGTGACATCTGACCTTTACTGCTGTTTCACTGTGAATGGCACTCTCGGTTTCATCGTAATGCTCATAATGGGACTGATATCTCATATCTGACTGGTTAAAAAAAAGAATGAACCATCAATGAATCAAAAACAGGTATATCTGGTGTGAAACAGATAAGGAATGTATAATATCTGTTCTGTTGGAGTTCTGGAGAAACTGTTAGTGTGTATTTTAAGATTCCATTGACTAGGATATGACTTGAAGAAAGGATGAATTTTAAAAATCACCCATTTTAAAAACGCAAAGTTCTACTGAGTTACTCTCAAGAGAAAGAAAATCATGGAAACTACTGCACAGAAATTAGGGAGTCTGCTTCATACTATCATTTACAAGGAGAGTATGTTGGTCTCACTAGCTGCCAGGATGGTAGAAAACTGCTGAGCTAGTGGTTATGCCCAAACCGAGCATTTTCCTGTAATTAGAGTTAGAGGGGGTGGGGGGGGAGGTAGGAACAGCATAAACAGGACAGAAATATGTGGCCACAGATTGGGGGAAGGACAAGAAAGCAGATTACATTTGTCTCAAGAGATTTCAATGAAAGATTCTAGCTGAATGTGACCGTGGATTAGACTGCTATGCTGCCTAGTACTGTAGCCACTAGCCATACTGAGGACTTGAAATGTGACTTGTCTAAGTTGAGATGGGCTATTAAGTGTAAAATACACACTAAAATTTCAAAGATTTCATATGCAAAAATTTCAATAATTCTTCATATTGATTGCACGATGATATATTTCAGATATAGGTCAAATAAGGTGTATTTTAAAAGGTGATTCTACCTGTTTCTTTTCACTTTCTTTTCACATGACTATGAGAAAATTTTAAGTTACATATATTACATGTATCTCTATTGGAAACTGCTGATTGGACCTTCAATTCTTCATTTGTTAAACGTGATTGGTAGTGGGAAACTAGGCTGTGGAAAGTTCAGATGTGAGAAACACTGTGAGTAATGGGGTGACAAGCCAACATTGTGGTTATTATGGGCTGATAGAAAACTTTAGCTTTAGGAAAAGTGAGCAGCAATCACAAGAGACCCACGCTAACTAGGTCTGACTTGGGCACAACTCAGCCTCTCTGTGCCTCGGGTCCTTAATCTGTAAAATGGGATGATAGGACTAAATTCTCACATGATCATTAATCCTAGAGAAGGTGTTTACCTGCATCATTCTCTATCACCCCACACTCAAGAAGAATTCTGCTAGGAACAATTAGAATTAACCTAGTAAGTATTTACATTCAGATAAAGGTAACAACTGAGGCCCATCCTGCGTCATTGTTATTTATCTGTCAGTTCTGCTTCAGTTTCTCTCATGGGAACAATCTTACAGATTTGTCTGTGACTTGTTAACACAGTTAAATATACACAAAGAACAAGGAGTGCAAGATGGCTAAAACAGACAGACTTCATCTCCCTCTGAAACTAAGAACAATTTGAAAAGAAAAATTTTACAAATATATTCAGAAAGAAATGTATTTGCTTTCTTTCAAAGCTACAGATGAAATATCTACTATTGTACTGTTAACATACTAATTAAGAAATCTAAGGTTTTATAATGTCAGTTAAATAATACTTGCATGAAACCCAACTTTCTACCGCTTCAAAATCCAACCCCGCCAAATCAAAACAGTATCACACCTCAAGTATATTAATTTCTGCTTAAGAGAGGGTGTTAAACAAGCAAGCAAACAAAGAATTCCATTTCTAAACAAAGCCTTCACTGCCTCAAAGAAGTCTCAGCCAGCAGCAGTTGCTGGTGGTGAAAA